GTTGCACTACAAAACACATAATTCTTAATTTTAGTAGTTTAAATACTCAACATTCTTTACACTGATGAAACTCATTAATGATTGGCATGATATTAACACATATGTTATAATTGATAGGTTGTCTAATTGTTAGATATGTATATTTTCATGTAAAAAATGCATTATTATATTATGAAATGTCATACTTTCATTTGTATTGCACTATGAAGTATGTCATTTAAGTATGAAAGTATAAATATATTTGTTGGAAAATGATGGTTGTTTAACTATTAAGTAGCTACGAGAAGGCCTACCATGGTATTAATAGTTCTAGCAATTCTATTTCGAACTATTAAACTGCATATATTGTATGTTGTTCTATTTCGAATTTATTTTTTATTTTTTTTAATTGTACATAAGATTAAACACAAAATTATAAAACAATATTGATAGAGTACTTACAAAAATATTAGAAAATTAAAACTAATTAATAATAAATTTATACAAATGGGAATGCATATAAATTAAATATGTTTTATATAAATTTAAACTCTCTCTATATATATACTTAAAAAATTAAATGTATTAGAAAATATTTATATACATATGTATTAGACAAAACCAAAAGTTTGGGAGAGTCCCAAGTATAAAGTGGATCGTCCTAGCAATAAACCACATGAAACTTCAATATAAAAGGAGAAGAGGGTTGACAACGCCGTAGTAATCAGGTAAAATATAAGCGGGTAAAATGTACACAATAATTAATATATATTGATATGTTATCTTTTAAATTTTAATTTTAATTATATTATAAATTATATTTTTTTCTGTAAGCAATCCAAACATAGTTTAGCTATTTATATTATGCTAATATCTTAATTATATATCTAGATAGGAAGTGGAAAATGGTTGGATGTTATTCTTAACATTTCTCTGTAAGTATTCTATAAGTATAAAATACTCATGAAACATGTAGAAAATTACTCATCTAAAATATCTCATTATTCTCTATAACATTTTAATATATTTTTTTTAATAAATTTACTAAATAATTGCATAATAATATCAATTGTAGTAATAATTTAGTTTTTTTAATATATTTTATTGGAAAATCACTTATAAATATTTGGGTTGGAACCTGTTTTGAGTGAACATTTTATAGCTAAATATTGTAGGAAAATCCTACAAGTACATAATAAATGTCCATAAAGATGTATATAACACTCACATGAAGTGGGGTCCACTTGATTTTTTAATTTTAGTAGGTTTCGCTCAATGCGAGTGTTATGAACACCTCTATGTACAACATTATGTACATATAGCATTACTCAATATTTTAATTGAATTGAATTTAATTGTTTAAAAAAATCTACATTTCGAGTATATATACTCGTGATATATTTATTTTCTCAAAATTAATTTTCGGTAAGTAATAAATAAATTATTAAAATTAGCTATTTTAACGACCACATAAAACGTTGGTTGTGAAATTCCAACACATCATAGTCGGGCATTGCGTAATCAATGGACACATGGGTTCAAACCCAAAAGATTTGTTCTGTATATGGTATGTTATGTATATCTTTTATTGTACTCAAGTCTGATGGTGCTTTCAAAGGGAGAAAACACTTTTTTTTTTTCAGAAATCTATTCGTATATATGTTGTATGTGTTCATACCCAAATAAATAAGATTTGTTGATTTTCAATTGAATTCGTCAAACAAACAGAAAATTTCATAATGGTATCCACATTTTAAAATCTATAACAATTTGATACTTTTTCATTCAAAATTATAAATTTAGTAGATCATTTTAATTGAATTGTATTATTATAACATTACACATTTAATTTATAAAAGATGTTACGGTCCCGTTACGAAACCATTCCGTTGGTGTTTGTAACCGTTAGATCAATTATCTCTGACGGTTACATGATGATCTAACCGTTAGAAAACCCGACAAAATTGTTCCGCAACGGCACCTTTTATCATTTCCCTTAATTTACATGTCCAAATAAAATATATGTGACACTGGGTTTCTATTGAATAAGTTAACCAAACAAATAGCTAACCACTTATATACCTCCACCAATTAATTAAGTTAGGAATCTTTGTGCTAACTTTGAGGAAAAGT